TGGTATCCCAGGGAGCAGAATAGCAGGAAAAGGCTAGGGCCGCTGGAGAGGGAGTGAATAGGGCTTCTCAGACCCAGAGCTCACAAGTGGATGCAGGATGAGCTGGATCTAGCAGCAGGATTATGCTTAGAAACCTAAATTATTTAGCAACAACCAAGACAGAATTGCACGGAATATGTGTGTATTTTAGAGTGAGTCTGAGGGTGATGGGTGATGGGAGCCTCTCCTTCCCAAAGGCAGGTGGATATACAAATCTCCAGGAGACAACGCAGCTCATCCTTATAAGCCCAGGAAATGAAAAATGAGATTATAATGAGCTCGGGTCAAATCACAAATGAATGCATCGCTGAGGGGCATAATTCTAAATTTTAATAATAAAACCAGTAAGTACCAGAAAAACTTCAACTTGCTTCAACAAAATGATGTTCCTTTTTTTTTTTTTATTCTTACCATTTACCTTCACAGCTGCCTGTTTCAGCCTTTCCTTTTCTCTCTACCTTTTGTCTTGTCTGTGTTTCCTGAAGGGCCAGAGGGAATACCCCAAACTCCCTAAATCTAGTAACTACCCTACTCCTGACAGTTCTTTCACATTTACAGAAATGACATTATGGCAAAAAACTGTTTTATTTTGGTGCTTGTTAGGCTTTTCCTTGTTCTTCTGACATAAATTCCACAATCTTCTGGCTTTCGTCTTCATTTTCTGATTCTTTGAGATCTACATCAGCTTTTTCAAGTATTCTGTACTGTAAGGAACATATACCAACAGGTACACAAGCAATTTTGGCCATCTGCAATGGCCCCAAAGGACACACGGTGAGCTTCCATTTCCTGCCAACGTGTGGATGGCTGTGCTAGTCAGATCACTCCTGGTGCTTAATAAGAACAGAGTCTTGGCTCAGAGCAGCACTGGTCAACAGAAGCACAATGCAGGCCATATATATGTAACTTTAAATGTTCTAGTTGCTACATTAAAATGTGAAATTACTTTAGTAATATTTAATATATCTAAAATATTATCATTTCAACATGTGATCAATAAAAACAGTTAATGAGATATAATTCTTGAATTACTTTGCAAGGCCTGTGGTAACATAGTCCTGACTTGAACAGAAGTTTCCTCGTAGTCTAGGAGGCTAGAAGTTCCAGATCAAGACATTAGCAGGGCTGGTTCTTCCTTCTCCCTGTGTCTTCACATGGTTGTTCCTCTACATGTTTGTATCCTATTCTCTTCTATGATAAGGACACCAGTCATGATTGGATTAGGACCGATCCTAATGAACTAATTTTACCTTAATTTTCTCTTAAAAGAGCCTGTCTCCAAATAAGGACACATTTTGATGTCCTGGGGGTTAGGACTTCAGTATAGGACACAAGCCTGCCTTAAGAACATGCATTTTTCATACTGTCTTCAAAATACAGTGTGTATTGTACACTGATGGCACATTTCAGTGTGCCCAACGGCCTACCATGGCCACTCAGTACTGCACAGCACAGGCAGAGCCCTGCCCTAACAACTGCTTGAAAGCTGGCCCTTGTGGTGCCCACCCGGCTCCAAGGGCACCAAGATAACCAAGGCCCTCCTTCAAGTGTCCACTGGACGGATCACCAGCCAACTACCAACTGAGAGCCATTTTGGAATACTGTCCCCCTTCCAATATAATTGCAGTCTGGGGATAGAATGTGAAAACTGTGTCAAGCTTCCTAACTGTCAGCAATGGCTGTGGCTGTTTGTCATTTACTTTCAGGACAGGCTGGAAGGGTGGTATTTTTAAACGACTGCATCAGCAGGGATGCCTGCTTATTTCCTCAGCCTTATTTCCTGAATGGAAGTAAGTCCACATCTGGCACAAAGTGTCAGATGTTCATCTACTGTGACTCTCACCTCCCTCCCTCTCTGGTGGATCTCAGCATCTTAGTCACAGGGCGCAGGGGCCCATTCTCTCTGGAGCTTCTCCTGAACCAACGTCTGCCAAGTCCCCTCAAGTGGGAGAAAGATCCCCACAACTCAGAGAAGCCAGGATCAAGGCCAGAACCAAGTTTTACAAGATAACTCTATTCTCACAGCTGCAATTGTGGGAAGCCACACTACTTGGGTGACTGGAGTGGACATTATCTTCTTGGGGTATAGACATACTGCAGTAAATTCCACACTCACTTTTCCAGATACCATGAGCACTCCTGACTAGAAGCCCACCTCGCCTGTCTGGTCAAATGCTATAGTACACATAGGTACTGCTTAAGTCCACCTGACCTGGGCATTTCCCACCCTTTGAGTTCAGTGTGGCCAGGCGATTTGCTTCAGCAATGACATGAGCAAAAACATGAGGTCATTTCAGGGCAGAAGCATATTGGCACCTGGGCTCTGCTCACCTGGACTCCGGGAAAGAAGGATGGGCATAGGGCATGAGGGAGGAGCACACCTGTGTTGCTTGGAGCCCTGGAGATTTCCAGGTCAAAAACTTCAGCATATTCCAGCCCATCCCAGCTGGCACAGAAGATAATTACTTCCTCCCGCTATTTTGCCCCTCCCAAAATTTAATGCATGTTGATGTTTAAATGAACTTTCTGCCTCACAGCTAATCACCTAAGTATTTCATATTCCATTTTATCAAATTCTCTCTGGCACCTGTACTCTGGTTCACTGTAGTTTTAAATGGATAAGGGGGCTTAGTTCCTTTTTTAACATTCTGGTGGAAATGTCACAGATACTCAGAAATGGTTTTTCAATCATGCTGTTTATCAATACAATACAAACAGCTGCTAGGAGGACAACCCTTCAAAACTCACTCCCGCTCAAGGTCAGCCCATGGATCACATTACCATGGTTGTTTTCTGTCTCCAACAAAATACTGGGACATCTGAGGACAGTCCTTCAGCAGGCTTTCTTTTTTTGTCTATACTATTTTGTCACTTGGATTGGTTTTTTCAACCTAAGCATACTGACATTGGACTGGATGTTCTCTGTTCAGAGCGCCCTGTGTATTATGGGATACTTAGCTTTTGGTTTCACCTACATGATTCCAGGGGTACTGGTTCTCCAGTTTTTGAGTATTCATTTGTTTGTTCAGTCATTCAACAAATGTCCAGTGAGCATGAGCTGTGTGCCAGGTACTGTTCTGAGTATCAGATACATTGGTGGGGGGCGTAATAAACACATGCAGCCTCTGTCTTTGTAGCACTCACAGCCTCTTTGGGGAGTTACTAAAGAAACACACATGCAAACCTCTTGTGACAAATTATAGTAAGTACTCTAAAGGAAGGCAACGCATGGCTCATGGGTTGGAGAGGAAGGGACATTCAGGCTGAGATGGGGAGGGATCAGCCAAGGGGTGAACAGCGGATGCTCACTGGCCATGCGGGAAGGCTGGCACATTTCAGGAGACAACAGAAGCAGCAGTGTGGCTGGAACACAGTTCAACGGGCAGTAAGAGGGGAGATGAAATCAAGAGAGACTTCAGGGGTCAATGTCTGTTGGAGGCTATGTTGTCCACAGAGACCCCAGACATGGCCATCCCCAATGGCTCGCGCTCCTCAGTCCTGATGGCCTCTGGTCTTGGGCTTTGCAGGCCTCCCAGAGTCTCCACTTTCTACTCTGCCCTGTTGGTAGCACCTGAACACCACGGAGCAAGGAGGCCATCAGGGGATGGGATGGCTGAATCTACTCCATTTTTTACTCTACTCCAGTTTGCTGAGAAATAGGACTCCCCTGGCTAAGCCAATAAAATGCTAGTAACCAGCCCTAATGTGAAAGTTTCCATTTCTATGAAGAAGTATATTCTGCTCCTCTACAGCAGGGCAGAATCCACACAGGATTTCTGATCCTCCTTCCTAAGTGGCCTTTAGCCAGGCCACAGGCTACTGTGAGGATTTTGGCCTTTTTCCTGTGTTAAGAACAGTAGAAAACAAAGAACAGATTCTACCTATCACTTCAGATAAGCTTGTGCCCACAAGGACTCTGCTAACAGAAGTAGTTTCTAATAGGGCCTGGTTTATGTGAAAGGTGGCTGCAAAAAGGGGCAGTCATCATTCTTCCCTGAACAGGTGACACTGTGGATAGAAATGTGTCACCTGGGAGAATGCCTTGTGAGGACCGAGGCAGAGACTGGGTGATGGGTCTGTAAGACAACAGTGCCAAGAACTGCCAGCCATGGTAGCCATAAGCAAAGGCATAAAAAGTGCTCTCCCCCAGAGCCTCTGGAGGGAGCACAGTCCTGCTGACATGGTGATTTCAGGCTTGGAACTCCCAGCACTATGATAGAGTGCATTTCTGTTGTTTAAAGTCACAGTCACCTGTTTTGTGGCCTTTTGTTATAGCAGCCTGAGGAAGCCAAAATAGGTTCCTTCCTGGAGTTCCCCAGTCACTTTTCTCAAAGTGCCAAGAAACAGGCCTGAGACGAGTGAAGAATCTGGTGAAGCCCCAGAAGGAGCTCTGAGGTCACTTTGATGACAGATTTTAGGAACTCCCACAGCCAGAGCACCTCGTTTATAGAGACCGCACATCTGAACCACAAGAATGACAACCACAAGGTCTAAGACAGCCCATTAAAAGGATGGCAGGTTTCCTTTGAGCAAGTCAACCGAATATATAATTTTATTTAAGTGAATTAATCTAGAAGCTGCCAAGGTGGAGCAATACTTATCCCAGAGTAAGATTAATTTTTCAGTGACAGTAAAAAAAAAAGCAAGATGTCAAAAGAAAACTCACTCAAAGTACACAGAAACACATCCAAACCACTGTCCCAGACCCAGTTCCCCTGGTAGGAGCTACACTCCTCACTTCTTCAGTCATTACCATCTACAGAGCATCTAAAAAAGGCTATTGATTAAGAAAAAAGATTCCTACTTATAAGTACAAGCTAGAGGAACATGCATAAAACATTTCAGCATGCAATTTGAAACAAATTTCTGGTTCTGTAAAACATGAGGTGTTAAAAAACGTGTTTACAGTCCTGCAGGAGGTGTGCATAAAAAGGAAAACAAGAAAAATTGCATTTTTTTACCTTGCCTTTATCAAAGTAGTGGATGATTTCTTGGTAGAGCTGCTCTTTCAGCTGTCCCTGTGTTGTCGCCTGGTACCCGTCCCGCTGAGTGAGGTGGGCTGCACACACATCCTCTGACCACTGAGGCAAAAGCAAAGCATGAGTGAGGACCAGGCAGTGTATAGGTAACGATATTACTGTGCACTTCACAAGTCACAATCAATGTGAGCTCTGCACTGGTGCACGTGTGTGGGCCTGGATTCCAGGGAAAAAGTGGGGCTGCTGTCATCAGACTGCCAAGGTTGGGAATGCCAGGGCAGGAACACTGTCTGGAGGGCCTAAGATGAATGCAAGACAAAGGAAGAAAGAGCTGTGGATAGAATAATACAAAGAAAAACCCTGCAGATTCTGAAATATATATATAATGCCATTATCCTGCAAACTGAGCCTTGGAACAGCCCAATGTACATGATGAACCAGATGATCTGTGGCTGCCATGAGTGGGCAAGCTGAGGCTTTCATTCATCCTGGTCATCTTACTCAGCACAAAGAAGGTGCATGGATCACAGGTCACAAGGAAAGAGACTTGCCAGGCCATCCAACTCCTGAAGAACCGGGAGATATTTTTGTACCTTCAGCTGTAGGCCTGATGCCTGGCACAGCCCAGGCTCTGTCAGAGTTGGTAGAGCTGGCCAGTTTTCGTGTGAACTGAAGAAACCAGAGTGAAGGCAAGGCCATTTGACAGATAAATCTTTGAGCTTTTTGACTCAACAAGCCAATGGCATTAGGTCTAGATCCATTATAATTCAGCAAATATTTGGTGAGGACCTACTATGTGCCAGGTTCTTGGTCAAAAATGAGTCAGAAGGAGCTTGACCTGTTGGAACTCTAAGCCACCCAGAGCTGGTGTGATTGTACATGAGAGCATCATGCTGTCCAAAAATCCTGCAGGTGATTCTGTGGGTGTGATCTCACACTGGGTAGTCTGGGGCGCTCACAAGCGGGCATAATAGGAATGGCCTTGCTTTTCAGTTGCACCTGTGAGGTGGAATGTGGTTTTGTTTTAAGACAGGACAAGTGAGAGTGCTCCAAAGAAGGCAAATGACTCCCAGACTGCCTTGACCACAAGAGTCCTCAGCCTAAGAAGGGTGGCAGGATGTCCCAGTGGACTCAGTGCTGGTTAGGCTACATCTAAGTAACAACATGTTAGGGGAGTGGGACAAGCGTTGGAAATCTGGGAACAACTGTGGTACGGGGGAAAGGGCCAAATGGACTGGATGCCATAGTGGGGATCCAGGGCACACAGTGGGACTCCATGAGATGCTTACTCTTTAAGGACATGCCCTGCCTCCTTTCTCAAAGCCAGAGGCCCTGAAGCATCTCATACAGGAGCCCAGGGTTTCAAAGAAAGGAGGTGGAGTGTTGCTCTAGAGGGCTCCCCATCCCCAGGATTGTAGTAAGAAGCCTTTATATGGTCTGAAAGATTCTCACATTAAAGGTGGACTTGCACATCCCACCCACAACCGGAAGCATCAAACTCGTCAAGCTCAGAGTTGGTAACATAACATAATATAGCTGGTGTTTTGGGGGGTGGGAATGGGAGAGTCAAGGTAAAACTTTAGATGATCCTCAAATGTAGCTACAAGAAAATAAAGAAGAAAAAGAAGGTTTAGACTTCTATGGATTTTAAGATCATTTTGTAAAGAATAATATACTTAATAGGAAAGCAAAAATCTCTATACCTTCTACTTACATATGGAGATGAAATAACTTGATTGCTAAGCTAGAAAGTAATGCTTGTATTGCTCTTGTTTTTGACCAAAAAATATTCTTAGTGAAAAAAGAAGATTCTGCTAAGGAATTTCAGTTAACAAATGAGAATATATTTGTCATACTGAAGAATAATTTTCAGAACAATAGACATCATTTTGTTTGGTGAATTGATTAACCAGCATGAATTCACATTTATAGCAATATCAAAACTTATTTAAAAAAAACTGCAAATGTAACATTGTAAAAGATATGAAGAGATATTATGCAGCATTCACCATTTAACTGGAAAATTCAGAACCCAGTGGAAAAGATAGTGGAATTGAGCCTATTGATTTGGGCTGAGAAACAAGTCATCATAGTCTGTGACATGCCATCTGTATTCAGTAAATCCAAAAATTAAACACATGATATGTTTCTGCACATACATGTTTTACATCCTCACGCACACATAAAAGTTTATGTTCTATGGGCAAGAAAGAGTGAGTAAGCAGTTCGTCAACCCATTTAATTTCCATGGTGTGAAAATAACACTATTACATTTATAAGACCTGGTTACTGAAATTTGGGTTCCGAATAATGAAGGTCATTGGAATTCATACTGGGATCGCTGCTGCCAGATGCACTGGCTGAAATCTCTATCTTCAGAAAGGGTGCTGCTCAGGAGAGCTTTAGATGGCTTCAAGGTCCTCAGGCAGCCAGCCTTGGGGCCGACACACGACATCCCCAGAGACAGCCAGCGTGTGTGCTTTGTCCGTGCTGGGCACTCTTGTTTTTTGTCAGATACACTTCCTCACTTCAGTGCTCCCAAGCAGCCTGTGAAGACTGGTGCTGAGCAGCTGGGGTAGATTTCAGGATCAGGACAAAGGCTGAAGCAGAATTCCTGGAGTTCTGCTCCCTAATGCTGACCTCCTTAATTCCCTTTACCCAACAGACATTGCGTAATGCCCATTCGACTGGAATTTTCTTTCACTTTCTTTCATTCCACTTTTGGTGTTTGGGAGGCTGGCCTAGATTTGGAAACAAGATTCTTTGAATAAGCAGTGCCTACATAGGATCACTCAACTAAATTCTAATTCTCATAATTGTTTTTGTTTATCCAGTTTATTTTTTTCTAAATTTTAAAAAGGTATCATGAGAAAGACAATGTAATGACTTGGTGAAATTCTGAAACTAGAAGTTGATTAGTAATATACGCCCCCATCCCCATCCCCATCCATTTACCATCCACCCATCCCTACACCCATCGATCCATCCATCCATCCATTATCCATCCATCCACCAACCTATTCTAGTTATTTATTGGGGATCGACTCTGTGTTACTAACTCTGCCTGGTCTGGACATGGGAGAGAACATGAACACATTACGACAAACAAAAAATTCCATGTCTAAAGATGTCTGCATAATAAAAGAACCACTTGAGAGTTGGAAGTTGTCCTGTCAGACTGGTACTCATGAGTAATACTCTAGAAAATCCAGGAGAAAACGCTAAAAGGAAGTCTCATAGGGAACTGCTTGACAGAAATATCACAGTCTGGCCTCCACATTCTTTGAGAGGATAATTAGGGGTCTCGCCCTATGCCTAAGCTGCTCCACTAGGGTGGCTCCTTTCTATGGATGTCCTCCAGCCTTATTGAGTTCTGTCTGCATGAACAGGAATTGTACAATCTCTAACGTGTTGCCACTTCAAAGCCTAATGACAGGAGTTTGTAATACCTGACATTTTGTTAAATCTGCACTCAATAAGGCCAAATCTATAATCAAAGCACTTACTAAATATTTTTGTTTATGTCATTACCTGTAGTCAATAGCCACAAAATCTTATGTTATAGAGGTCTACTAAAATTTGTCATGGAAAAATAAAATTTTGAATGATCTTAGAACTGATAACAAGAGATTCATAGACATGAATGAAAACTTTTATTACCTTCAGAAGCTTTGCATGGAGAAGCAAAGTATATGCTGCTTCAGTGTAGTTATCACACTCCTTGTGCAAGTCACAGAGCTTGTACAAGTACCTGAGTTGATGAAGTAGAGGTACATTCTTAAAATGTCATATCTATTCCTTCTTTTTACAATGTTCATAATTCACAATGCCTTGAAAGCTTTAGGTGAAGAAATCACTAAATAAAACCCAGAGTAACTGCGCTAATATATACTTACACTTATATATATGTAAATAAAATTACCCATATATAGTATATTTTAATTTTAAGTCCTCTCTTTTCAGCACAATAATGAAGATGATATGCAAAGGTAGACTTTTGCTTGACGGTTTCTTATATCTTTCAACTGTTCCACATTTTTCCTCAAACACTTGAGATGAGATTACACAATCTGAATGATTTCTTACATTTATATTGAATCCAAATGCACAAAAATCCACAGAAACTGAAAGTCACAAGAATAAAGAGCTCCAACAATCACAGGGAATGTGATCAAAAGAATTTCTTTGTTATAAAGAAATAACAGTTGCTTTTTGTTATAAAGCAGGCCACATTTTGGATGAAAGAAGCAACTGATTATTTCCCTACATTTATTTTTATACATATGGCATTCTTTTAAAGAAGAATAAAAATAAGAAAAAATTATATAATCTCATACAATGTGATAAACGCACCATTAAACACTAATGCCCTGTATGGGTTACATGCTCACCCTATTATTTAAAGTAGCAATCTTGCTAATTATTTGACACTGGAGCCTAAAAGCGACTATGAAAAGGAGAGGTTTAATCAAAGTACATCACTGTGGCAAGTATTTTTTTTTCTTATGATATTGGGGATCAAACCCAGGCCTCTGCATACCAGACATGTGCTCTACCACTGAGCTATTCCCCACATCATTGTAGGTTAAAAGGCAAATGAGAGTTGGGCACCAGTGGCTCATGCCTATAATCCTAGCTACCCAGGAGGCAGAGATCAGGAGGATCACAGTTCAAGGTCAGCCAGGGCAAATAGTTTGCCAGACTCTATCTTAAAAATACCCAACACAACACAGGGTTGGAAGAGTAGCTCAAGTGGTAAAGCTCCTGCCTAGTGAGTGTGAGGCCCCGAGTTCAAAGCCTATACCACCTAAAAAAAGGGGCTATGGCAAATGAGAGAGCGAGATCCAGCATTTTTCTTCTCTCATGGGAAAAAGTTTTCTTCCTTAATGGGAAAGACAGAAAACATGGAAATAGGATGTCAATTAAAGAGCAGACTGAAAATGTATGTTGTCTATTTCTGACAAATTTATAACTGGATTTCTCATTTGACCATGTGACTTACTGTGAAACATGGACATCTGTGCTGCTGTCTTTCTTTGGGAAGTACAAAAGCCTTGTGAAATAATCACAGATAGTTTTGCTTTTGAGTTGGCTAATTGTGACCCACTAAAAAGTCAATGTTATGGACAAGCTGTGTGAGGGCTGAGAAGACATCTGGGCACTCCACCAAACATAATCTCAGAGGCATTATGATTTCTACAAAATAACCCCCTGAGGTTACAAAGCATTTCTTAACATGGATTTGACAAACAGCAATTACAGTAAACATGCAGAGGGTGAGGCAAACACAATGTACACATACCTTATATACATTTCTTCTCTTTCAATTTCTTTGTAGAAATTCTGAAAAATTAAGCCACAACACTGTTTTAAGAAACCTATTCCACATTCATTGAAAATGTACATTAAAAATCCAAGGTTCTTCAACTTGTACCAAACACAGCCAAATGGACATAGGCACATTTGGATTAGAACCACAAACTCAGATAAATGGCAAAACTTCATGGTTTTTGCTTTTCTAGTGACTGTATTTCCTATAATTTGGACGCCTGATGTCTAAAACCTACTTCTGTAATTTGAAAGCCACCTATCTTCAGTAAAAATAATGTATTGCCCAAAGACTTGATTTCTTAACCATTATAACTTCATTTAAATAAGACAAAACAAAGAAACATCATCAACATGGTTTCAAGCATGCTGGGACCAGCCTTCAGCAAAAGCCATGGAAGGCACCACAATATGGCAGGCCTCAGGTATTCAAAACAATAGCCACTAGCCACATATACTCAGGGTAAAGAAACTTAAATTAACATTACATAAAGTTAAGAATTCACCTTGTCAGTTGCACTTGGCACACTTTGATTGCTCAACAGCCATATGGGGCCATTGTTACTGTACTGAGCAGTGTAGATATAGAACACCCATCATCTCAGAAATGTCCACTGGAAAGCACTCACTGTTCTAGGCAGAGATAGACCTTCCAAACCACAGTAAGAAAAACAGGGTCACCTAAAAAAGCCCCTTGTATACAAACACTAATAGAGAAAGGTCGGTTGGCAGATTACAAGCAGTGTGCTATTCCTACCTATTACTGCAAAATATCTTCTAGTTGGCGTAAACATTTGTACCAAAATTACATTTCTTCACGTAAAAACTTTAAAATCTTAATGAAACAAGGGGTGCCAGAAAAGATGCTAACAAGGCCTATTAAATGAAAACAGCCACAAGAATTATAGAGTCAGTGTCTGAGGGAAATAGCAAATATCAACATTATAAAGACACACCCGGGAAGATGGCATAAGAGCTTTCATTTCATTAGCAAAAAAAGAGTACTGCTTCTAGGGCTGATCTTTCTGAAAAGAAATGATAAATAAGTATGGAAAATAAGCAGGGGACAAGTTCAGAAAAATGCACGAAGATTATCAAACGGTGCCGCATCTGACATTTTAAAGTGCTCTAGTTCCTGTGACACGGCTGGGTAAAGAGGATATTTTCAGCTGACAACTCAGCGCGACGTAACAAAGAGACTCGGCATCAAAGGCCAAGAATGAGCCCTTCATTGGCAACTCCACTCGCCGGTACTTACAAGCTCCGATGTCACACTGTCCCCTTTTGTGCTCTTTATTTTTAATCCTTTACTAAGGTTTTGATCATTCATTCTCCGTTACCATTTTGCAACAGCGAAATCATGCGACCTTCATTCCCCTTTGAGAAATATGGAATATCTTCTATTTTCTGCCTGTGCTGAGGTCTGTTCTCTTCCCAGGACTTCAAAACCTTTCTACAGCTGGAGCACACTCATCTCAAACCCCAATTTCTATATAAAACCTTTGTGTTTCTTACGTCAAAGTTCACGCTGCCCTGGTGCTCCACTTCTGGGCCTGCAGGCTGCGTTCTTGTCCTCTACCAGCTTGTCCCTCAAGTTCCTTCCACACTGTCGCTGACTTGTGCCAGGCTCCAAGCTGGATCCCATAGGAACTTCATGAGAACTGGGCCCCAACTCCAATGCACCTCAAAGTATTGACCTTTCAGAACTTAGACCTTTGTATTATATTCAGTTTTGGACTCCTTCATGACTCAAACAGACACTGAGATTTTTAGAATTCTGGCTTAGTCCTGCAGGAACCAGCCTCGTAAAGGGGTCACGCCAAGAGAAACTGGGACCTTGTCTGATACGGATGATTCCACCAGCCCGAGGGATGGAATGTACTGGTGACTGCACACAACTAGGGGACATACAACCAAATTATCAGGAGTGATTACAGACTGCTTGCTTACAAGTTGATAATGAAATGCTAGCTAAAGAAATACAAATGCATATTTTGTTACATGGGAGCTGTGGTCCAGTATACATGCTGGCATAGGGGATGCCCAGGCACTTAGAAGACTGGGCAGAGTGGCTGCTTATGTCTTGTTTTTGCTTTCTTGAAGAGCAAGGAGAAAAGTGTAGGACAGTAATGAGCCTACATGAGTTAGCGTGTTCTACAAACTCTGTCTTAAAAAAAAAAAATCACAGCACTGGCTCTATAGGGAATTTGACAATGAGCTTAAAGGGCATTGATATTTTATTTATGACTATATTTTTATTCTTAGTGGACAGTGTATGGGGTACAGTGTGACACTTCAGTGCATGAATATAATGTGACACAGGATCAAGGTATCTGGTATGTCTACCACCTTACACACATTGCTTTCTGCTGGAATGTTGAAACTCCTTTCTACTAGCTATTTTGAAATAGTCAATTAATTGTTGTCAATCTACTGTGCTATGCAGAATACTAGAAGTTATTCCTCCTCTTATTCTACTGTACCCTATACCCATTACCATCCTCTGTCCACATTTTTATCTTTAGGATTTCAGGGGATTTTCTGCTCAGTGATAAACCAAGTAGTCTTTATACGTCTTCAATGTATACTTCTATGTCTATATGCATTCAGAATTCAGCGATGGACATACATATTCATTTCCATGAACCATCACTTGTTTCTACAATGAAAGAATCAGGAAAAAAGGTAAAAAAATATTAAATATATATATAATAAGTTTAATTTAATAAGTATAAAAATGTGAGCTTGGCAATGAATATTTATAGATAGGATAGCGATCTGGAAATCTCTAGTTTCTTGTTTCTCTTTATCCCCTACATTTGTTTTTTGTGTGAAAGCATTGTAACGGGTTGGGATCCATTCTATGATCCCCAGGACATGGTTAAAGATAGAATACTTCACTCTTCCTGAAATGACTCAGGACATTTCAAGTCGAAGGGACTTAATAAGGTGAGATAATCTCGGGATCCATTGGTGTTTCTTAGTTAAAACCGAGCTGGTCTGACCACATAACAGAAGGTGGGCACTGAGTCAGGCTCTCTGTTTAAAGAAGGAACACCTGTCAACATCAGAAAATGTGGCTGCAATGCCATTTAAGATTCTGTTTCCTGACTGTGAATTCTGGTGACAAGAAGCCACATTCAAGGCATGACACCATTTCTTCACCAGGTTTCATGGCCTGGTGAGCACAAGAGATCTTACTTAAAACAAGAAGAAATCTTAATCACCAAGTTATTAACCTAATAAACTTGTTAATTCTATCTTATAGATAAGAATTGGCCCCATAGATACTCCCAAGGCTCAGGTAGAGCACTGTAAACTTATGTTCACAGTGAGGAATAACTTTGAAAAGGCCCCCATTTATTTCCCCCACAAAAATGCTGTTTTCTATTTCATGTCAACCATGCCATGTTGACATCATGAAGGCCAATTACTTTGGACAGGGACAAGAATGCAAGAACATCTAAAGTGAGAAAAACATCCTTTCCTGTGCCTAAGGCCAAGGCCAGCTTACCTGGGCAGAGCTAGCCGCCATGCTTCTTAGTTAATCTACAGGTGAACATAAAGACAGAGCCAGTGGGACAGATCTCAGCCTTTTCTGATACACATGCAAACATTTTTAGACTTTTAAGCTCACTATTTCTTTGCTTTGAAATGTCCAGTTGATTGATGAGACCATCCAAGGGATTCTTCATGGTATTTAAATTTGATTTCTACAATTTCTTTTTGATACTTCAGGTTTGTACAAATATTATCCATCTGTTCTTGCATACTGCCCCCTTTATACATTAGAGTACTAAGGATATTTATCACAGTTGTTTTAAATGCCTGGCCTGATAATTCCAAACCCTCTGCCATATCTGAGTCTCATCCTGATGGCTTCTATGTCTCTTCATGTATTCTTTGCTATTAGAATGTGCATAATTTTATGATGGGATTGAACATGATGTGCTGTTTATGGCATCATCCTGGGCTTCTGCTCCAGTAAGCTGTGATTCTGTGTAGCTTCCTAACTCTACAATTGTGGGGGCAGCTGTTTACCTAAGAAGATGGATCTACCAAGAGCTGTTGATTTTCCAGTTTTTTCAATTTTTTTCTTGTTGTAAGGATGGGAGTGACAATTCTTAGACCCTTTATATGATGGACCAGACACCAAGAGCCCCATGTTAGATTTTTGTGGAAAAGAAGACTTGCTACCAAAACTGTTTATTATTAACCTAAACAGATTGTTCAGTTATAGGATGTAGGGGTCAAGGCTGCTCATAAGCTTTCAGCTAAGAGATTTCTCATGGCAAAACATAAAAATTATTGATACTATAGTGGATGGAAAGAAGAATGAATGAGATATCACATTCCTCCTGGCACAAAAGTCCATTTTGTTGAACTTAAAGTACTGCAAGTCCACACAAATGATAGATATTGAAGTTATCCAATGACTAGATGATATCTTGAATTCCAGAGGTCAGTGAGGAAAATCAAGCAAGGTAGGAGTAGTGTTTTCTTACATTCCTGCCTTTGGACAGGTGAAGGAAGCTGAGGAAAGCCCTGTCATGTCAAGGAACAGAAATAGAAGAAGAGCAGAGAGTTCTGAAACCAGGTGTAGGAATCTCATGGCTGCTGGGATCCCTGAGGTTTCTAAGACACTCTTGGGACTTGAGCTTGTGCATCATCAAGCTTCCTAAAAGCTCATTGGCCCTATTGCATTACCTGAATATGCCTCATGAAGGAAGTACCTTAGGAAGTGCATGTTCACAGATGTGACCATTATGCAGCAACAGCAGGAATACACAAGGCCCAATGGATGGAGATAGCCAAGTACCCCCAGCCATCTGCTACCCATATGGCCCTGCACTGGTTTCTTGAGACTGCTATAATAAATGACCACAAACTGGGTAGCTTAAAACAATAGATGTGTACTTTCTCACAGTTTTGCCAGAAGTCCAAAATCAAAGTGTCATCATGGCAACATTCCATGAAGGCTCAAGGGGAGAATCCTCCCTGACTTTGTCTAGCTTCTGGTGGCTCCAGGCACTCCACAGATTGCTTCTTTGGTTCCACAAGGAGCTGTTTCATCATCCCCAACAACAGCAGAAAATATGTGAAAACATCTAGAGGTTCATAGACTTATTCCAATTGTATCTGCAAATAATTTTCCATCATTCCTTTCCCATAGCAGAAAGGAAATAGGCAAAGCACGCTGTGTTATTCCACTGAATGCTCTGTGGCCAACTGTCACAGGGGCTCTGGAGCACCTTGGCTCAGTTTCTGACGTGCTGTGAAGATTGAAGGTTTAATTAACTTTTCACTCACCAGCACGTTGACGGTACAACTCATGCGATTCTCTTTGTTCTCGTCATGCATGATGGTTCTGTAGTCCAGCAGTCTTTCCATCAGGCGCACAACGAGCTTCACAAAAGTTTCTCCAGTCTTGGCAAGGTATTTATGCTTCCTGCAGTGCTCCAGGAGGCTGAAAAATAATTACACACACCTTGTTAATCACACTCAGAAAAAGAAACTCGACTGAGGTGCAATTTTAAATATTTTCCATTATTAACACATTTTAATTATTTCTGGGCTACAAAGTTCATTGTAGTCTAATTACAGTCTCTCAGTCTCTATTCTGACATAAATCCCATTGCTAATCAACACTTACATTTTATCAAATAACACTTTGTACTGCTCATCTCCTCTGCCTCCTTCCACTTCATGATCCAGCTTGGTGATGATTTCATTTTCAAACTATAATTAAACAGAGGAAGCATAAATAATCAGTATGGCGGATATTTCATGAAGAGCGTCAATAGCACAGAGATTGGCAGGTTCATCGTCAGTTAACCTCTGCCTTTGAAATATGATTTCATTTAAGAGATGCCATCTCTGAGCCCCTGGAGATTTCTGATGATCCCTGGCCACAGGGGGATCCTTCAAACCTTTTCCTGATTAGTGCAGCCTGAACATGCATATTCCAGTAGCAGAAGTAAGAACCAGAGAAAGACAGACAAGGAAACCGTAGGGAACAGAATCAAAGGGAAAAAAAAGTCTCAAACTTCATCTTGATGAACAAGTAACATCAGAAACAACACATTCGCTCCTGGACTGGAACAGATGGCATCTCACTTAGCAGCAAAGAGTTCCTGGCAATCTGAAAACATCCATAGGGCCACTTTGCTGCCATTCCTTGATGGATCCCAGTCTCATTCTAGTTGAAAAAATGTAATTAAAGGCAAAGGGGAAAATGTCCCTAAAGACAAATCAGTAGCTACATCAAGAAGGTCCTTTTCCAGCCTGTCCTCTTCTAATTGGATTTCCTGAGCTTTGGGTGGGAAAGGGTCCTCAGAACTGACTGAATGTCTCTCAGATCCATGCTGTGAAAAAACTCTAAATTCTGGGGAGTTGCAACTTGCAGAATATCTTCTAGGGATGACTGGGCTGGAAATGAGTACCTGGATAATGAAGAGCATATCTTTCCCATCTCTTTCCCTAGTTGTATTGGGATTCCAGACAAGTGATCACCCAAGTCACAGAGAAACTTAGGATTACTCTTCCTGATGTACTGGAAGGAAGGAGGGGTTGTGGAATGTTGCTTTCCATAAAGATGGGGACCCAAATTCCGAACTGACAGAGGTAGGTGAGAAAAGAATTGAAGAAAATGATGACTTGAATTCAGGGTTCAGAAAGCAAGCACAAGATGGCATGAAAACAAGGATCTACCTTTAAAAGACATGTTCAATCACCTGACTCTTGGGAGTAATCCTCAAGTCCCCCAGTATGTATGATTAGGATTCCATAAGAATGTTGTCTGTGGGAGAGCAAGCATTTCTTTTTCCTTGGTCACTGCTATCTCCTGCGGGCCTAGAATGTGGCTGAGGTGGAGGCTCCAACAGAATGAATGTGCTGCTCTGTTGCACATAAATTATTGCATGGAGTGGGCCTTAAACTGATCAGAGCTAGGGAGAGAGCTTAACGTGTCATCAAAGCAGTTGGCCAACGGATTGCAGAACCACAAGCTGCTCTTTGGGCCCCAGTGAGTCAAAGTGTGAGCATGATGTTCCAGAGCGACAGACATTATGGGCTCCATCTATTGCATGGGGGATGCAGGGTGCTACTGAAGTAGAAGCTGATTTTGGCCCCCAACAAACAGAGAGCAAAACCCAGGAGGGACTTCCAAGTTGGCACAGACCCACCTGTCCTGATTTGGGACACACTGCCTGAAACCATAATTTTATCTGGCTGCAGATGAAGCACAAGCTTCAGACAGGGCTGGAGAGGAGTGCTGATACCAAGGACTTGGTAACCTTGCAGCAGTCATGGCCTTCCTGATCTCCTCCGCCCTCCTCCTGATCATCTCATGCTCTCTCCCCCCGATAAACACCATGTTTTGATGGTTTAACTTAATAAGTTCAGGGCTTTAGGCACATACACGGTTCCATTGAAGGATATTGACTGATACTGACTTTTACTGTAAAACAGCAACTCTGCTCTTCACAGAAAAGACTTCAGCAAGAGATCATTCATTTAAGAATCTGATACCAAGGAGATCTCTTGCAGCTAGCTCCAAGATGGACTTTTGGGGCAGTCCTATAGTCTAGATGATACCATGACAGAGACACCAAAGACTAAATGTCTGACAAGAGCTGATGCTTCAGAACAAATAACTGAGACATAAAATTACACATGTTTAATAAGAAGTTACAACTGGAAAGATATAGAGAATGCAGAAAAACATGCCTTATTTAAACACCGGGAAAACACACATGGGTATTTAAAATTGTTCATCACTCGTCAATCAGAAGATATTTGAACTTGGAGTCTACTTTATGAAAATGGCAGACTTCCTCTGCTTCCAGGTAAACCTAGCTGTCACAAACACAGGCAACGAGGAAGCAATAGCTCCATAAGCAGGCTGCTTATCAAATTTTGACTGATGAATTTAATGTTTTCTAAAAAGAGTGGATGAATGAGAAGTACATCAGAACACAGCTGATTCTAATTTTACTAACCTCTAGTCTAAACTAAGTAATTTGCACAAACACCTGGCAATTCTGGTCTGTTTATCAGCAAGGATTGAATGCCATAGATCTGTATGCAGCTTCTAATTTCAAGGTCTTCATTAATTTTTGCAGAACATATTGGAATCAATTTGTTAGTGTGCTGTGAACTGTTATCATAATCAAAATTAAACGATCTTGTTCAAATAAACTGGAGATAGTACATTTGTGATAGAGCAGAGTTGGTTTCATAAAAGCCATGTTTATTATGTTACTCGTAAGTACATACTGTCTGATAATTTGCAGCAGGTTCTCTATGGCTAGGATAAAATTAGTACAGGTTTATTGTGCTGCTTAAAAGGTGGTAGAGGCTCACTCAAGTAATAAGCAAAATCATTATATTTTTCTCTCTTTCCTGAATCACCAATATTGCTACAAAAATATCCACAGGGTATCCAACTTACAATATTGAACAGAACATCCCTGAGTCTGTGATACCAGAGGCCCCCAGACAGCACGAAACATAAAAGGACATCAATAGAAGGCATTTGGAGGATGCTTTTAAACCGAGCGTGGGCTGTACTCACAGCAGCACTGACGTTGTTAATTCAATTAACTTAGAAAGGAACCACTGTTTCCTCTACTCATCGCCTGAGTTAACCAGGGGTTATGGAATATTATTTCAGAGAGTATGAAAAGGATCATAGCAGTGGATAATCCAAAAGCCAATTATGTTTTGTTTGGAATGCATAATTTGTGATTTGGATTAGATTTACCATTATAATACATGTATAAATGTTTCAGATCAGGCCTGCATTTCCAAACTTTTTTTTTTTTTTAATTTTTCTGGCAGTACTGGGGTGTGAACTCAGGGCTTTCCACCACTTGGGACACACCTCCAGCCCTTTATGCCTTAGTTTATTTTTCAGATTGGGTCTCCTGCTTTTTTTGCCTGGGGCTGGCCTTGGACCATGACCCTGATACTCCACCTCTCATCACACCTGGCCCCAAAACAGACCTGGGCTTAGGCCAAATCAAGGCAGGAAGCTGGGTACAAATATTTCAGCACATGGACAAAGGGCTCTGAGGTTATCAGTGGCTGGCTGATAGTCAGGAACCTATGTCTGTGGTCTGCTAGGTACAGTAGCAAAAGGTTTTCTTGGGCCCTTTAAACATGAACCATGGTAAGTTTACTGCGTTTTCCTTTGCCCAAAGTGCTCTACTTCTTCCTGGTTTTTAAGGAAAAATGCTCAGAAGATACTTGTGCTTGGCCACCTCCAGATTTCAGAGAAAAGTGCCAAGGGATCAGACACCCTTTGCTCCTCCATCTTGAGATGCGGCTGGGGAGCCTGATGGAGCCACACAGCCATACCCATTCTCATGCTATTTATAGGAGAGAGTTGTGGGGAGAAAGATGCCAGGCTGCAAATGGGTGGAAATATGGCCAAAAAGGCCACTTTAAAACCCTGGGGCTCCGGCTCCCATGCTGCCATTCTAAGTTACCGATCCACCAATCTATCATTCAGCCTTTAATCCCAGTGCTTGACACACTCATATTTTTTATGTATACTGGATTCCTTTTGCCTAACCACTCTGTAAACTTAATTACACACTTAATCTCTGGCACTCTATCCCACATTCTAAAACCTTCATATCATCCTCTGTCTATCAAGCAGGCAGCTCCTTGACCTTGAAGTTTCTGTGAAATACTCATGAGCTTAGAGACCCCAAAGTATATACCTGGAGCAGCCAAGACACCTTCAACACACCTGTGGCAGGTACAGCAGCTCCCTGTCTCTGCATGACAGATTGAGGGGTGACTTTTGGCTGCACACAGTTATAGAGGATGCTGGCAACACAGCCTCATTGTGAGGTCTAGTTAACTTAGTTGAAGAAGATTATGGAAGTGTGAGAATCTCTGCTGGAAGGTTTTAAAGACTAGAATTCAATGTAATAGGAACTCTTGGAGTCAAAGGAGTTGGGTTTCCATGATCTCTCAGACCACCCATGGTCTGAAGTCAAGGGAAGAAAAGCCTGACTCTTACGTCATGTTTGCTCTTGAAGCATCCGCGGCAATAAAATCAAGTATTATTTTGAAATGCAAAGCACATATAAACCGATGAATAAAAATTCCAATGAATTGGTGAATAAGTAAGATAAAATTGCCACCAAACTTATTCACATTCTTACTACAGGGCAAAATATATTGGCTTTTCCACCAAGTGGCTGAAGCTGCCAACATTCACTTGGGTTATTCAATTATTTGTGTAGGGTTACTGGCATGGGCAGTGGGAAGAGATTATTCACACAGGAACTCAGACGCACTGACGACACAAAGATTACTCATGTTCTAATATTGTTACAACTAAATGAGAATTTCTGGAAGTTGTGGAGCAATTTACTGAGCCTCACAAAGATGACATAAAATAGCTCCATGATTGAAAATATTATTTTGCTGTAGAGCCTTTTCCATTCCATTTTTATTAATGGTCTGTGGCCCATCTGGCCATTTGCTGCAATTCTCAGCTGTTAGTTCTGCATTTTCCAAGGGCATAACAAATGGAATTCTTTAAAAAGATGCCGGGAGAGAATTTAAAAAGCATGGTTTCGTTTTTGGTGAAGTAAAATCAAGTGTGAGGCTGAGGTTCCAGGCGTTATCCATCTGGAAAGCAGAGTTCTTAGTGAAATGGAGGAAAGGTCAGCTTACGGCCAGGTGAGGGCTCATCGGGTTACTAGGGCCAGGCTAGTTTG